CTCAAACCGAGAACAATTATTTGCAACCCAAGAGTTTCAGGCTCGGCTCCCGGGAGACGGGCTGGGGAGACTCCGGCCTGCAGCGAACTCGCTTCCGAACTCGGTAACTTCCGGGACCGCTCGAACTTCCTGTCCTCCCCGACCCCACCCCGACCGAGGGCCTCTCAGAAACCCCGCAACAGCCGGGATTCCGGCGTCTTGGCCCTGACGGTTGGGGCCGCGGAGAGCGCCCGAACCTTCTCAGGGCGCGGGGTTCCACTGGGGCGCGCCTACGTTCCGCATCCAGAGACCAAGCTCGGATGTTATCCCGGAGACAGAAGCGCAAGGCCCGGGGAGAGGTAAGCGCCCTCCTCACCTGCAGCCGGAAAGACGCGGTCAGCCTCGCGAGTCCGCCGCAGTCCGTTTCTTCCGCAGAACTCGCGTCTCCCGATTCCAACCTCCCCGCCTCAGCCGCTCAAGCTGCCCGCCTAAATCGTGGGCGGGGCTTTCTCCTATTGGGCAGCAGTCCCGGCCGTCGACCAATACCCTCTCTTCTTCTTCCTTTGGTCACCGCTGGGTAAAAGAGCGGCGCTCTCATTGGCTGGTCCTTCGCCAACGGACGGGACCGCGCGCGAGGAGGCCTCGTCCAATTGGTTAAAAGCTATGGCCCGTCCCCTCGCGTCCAGCCCCCAAACGCGCCGGAGGAAGGCTCTTGCCGCTCTTTATTTGAACTTTCTGGCGGAAGAAAAGTTGTAGGAAAAAAGTTTCTCGGTACATTTTGAGGAGAAGATGACAATATTAAAACTGTGGCTCCTGCTGCTTCTTCCTGTTTAGTAAAGGAGCTGTCTTTATCCAAAGACTGGTAACTAATAACAATAATTTCAAAATATTCCCCCCCCCCCCCCCCCATCCCGTTCGTATATATTCTCTCTTGGGTTTGGACAGCGCATGCGGATTTGCTTACCTGATCTCTTCAATCCCAAATCACTGCAGTAAATTGCCTGCTACTAAACTCTTGTCACATCACTTAAACAGCTAATATTTTTCAAACATCTCCCTGAAAGATGAAATCTCGCTAAAATCTCAACCTGGGCACAGACTGCACATTGCCAGAATTTTATTTACTCGGCTGCCAATTTTCAGTGGAATTGGTAGCAGACGAGAGCATAAGTAATTGAAAAACTTGGCCAATACAAATAATTACAATATTTTTCTCCTGCAAAACCAGCATTAGCATTTTTTTACTTTTCCCCCTTTTCTTGCTATAGCTTTTAGCCTGGCTACTCCAGGAGAAAGGATTTTTCTTTCGCAAACACATTAAGTTACAGAGTAGAGTGTAAGACATTTTGAGTCATTCTCACTGTTAATGTAAGTTGCTTGTTCAATGTAAAACAATTAGAACATTTTTTTAAATTAGAAAATTATAGAGGCAAAAAAAGGAAAACTCTATCCAGAGAAGTCATCATAAAGTTTGTTTAAAATCTTCATCTGGTTAAATTTAGAAAGAGGTGGGATTCTATTTTAATCTTAAAATATATCCGAGTGACTTCCCATGTTAATGGATACATAGGCACATTGTCAAATACTGAATATTATTTGAAACGATTTTAAATGAAAAAATGAATAGGTAATATAGCAATGAAAAAATGAATAGGTAATATAGCAATGAAAAAATGAATAGGTAATATAGCGCATGGCTAAAGAAATGTGTGCAACACAAACGGCTGCTTAGTGAAAACTCTACAGAATGTTACTAGATGGTTCCGAAAGCATATTCATTCATGTCCACCTAATGGCCATGTTCAGAGGAAGAGAACAAACAAAGCCAGAAATATATAGTCTTGTCTCCAATTTTCAAAGGTTACATATAGTTAGAAAGAAATGTGTTGGCTGTGTTCCCTTTAGGAGTGAAATTCCAAGCTTTATGGGTGAAAAATACCAACCTTTCTATTGGCTGGTGGAACCTAAGAAGATTCATTGGATGTGAATCACGAGAAGGAATATATCTGCTGAGATGGATTCCCATGATCAACCAAGGGCCCACATTTTACAAATAATAAGAGCTGAGCCACTGTTTGCTGGCAGGGGCTTCTCATGTGCTCCGTATACCAAGCAGAGCTGCTGGCACTAGGCTCTGCTTTCTAAGTCTTCCTAGGTGACTGTGAGGGAGCGCCTAAGACCTGCCCTGTCCAATCAGAACTGCTCCATGGTGACCAATCAGGAGTGGAAGGGAGTGATTATAAAGGAGCATGAGAAAACTTTAGGACTTGATGGATATGTTCATTATCTTGATTGTGGTGGTAGCTACATAAAAAACTTATCAAATTGCACACTTTATTTTTTTTCATATATTTTATTGATTTTTTACAGAGAGGGAGAGAGAGTTAGAAACATCGATCAGCTGCTTCCTGCACGCCTCCTACTGGGGATGTGCACGCAACCAAGGTACATGCCCTTGACCGGTCCGCAGGCCGACGCTCTATCCACTGAGCCAAACCGGTTAGGGCAAATTGCACACTTTAAATGTGTATGGTTTATTATTATGATGATGTTCATTATTTTGATGGGGTTTGGATTATTCATGTGTATGCATTTGTCAAAACTCATTGAATGGTATATTTAAGATTTGTGCATTTCACAACATAGAAATGTTTGCTTATCCCCCTAAGCCCCGTAAACAAATATTAAACTTAAGTTTAATATAAATGCTGATGTGTTTTGGAATGAAGTGTACTGATATTTGAAATTTTCTTTCAAATGCATAAAAAACTAGGATGGATTAATGGATAGAGAGAGTCACGGATAGATGGATAAGTATGTGATAAACTAAATATAGTAAATCGTTAGCTGTAGATTTTAGGTGGTTGGCAAATAGTTGTCCAGAGTATAATTATACTGATTTTTCTGTGTATTTGAAAATTCTCATAAATAAATGGTGTGTGTGTGTGTGGGGGGGGAGAATGAATTACAGGGCCTTGGAAGATATTCTGTGCAAAGTGAAGGACCCTGGAGATTAAGCTTTATTAGTTTCACAATAAATCCACTTCTGCCTGTAGGTCTGCCAGAGTACAAATAACTAATCTATAAGGGAGAATTTTCGTTGTAAGCCCTACAGTAAAGACAACAAAGGATTTTAAAGATGAAAATAGAACCTAAAGAAAAACTCTAAAAAAAAAGAATAATTTTAAATGCTCAACCTGCCCACGTTTATTCTACATTTTTTATTTATAAAATCACTTGGGGCACAGTGCACGAATTCGTGCACCTTGAAAGGAACTGTGGGCCACAAGGCAGTGGTGGGCATAGGGCTGGGTCTTGGCCCATCCTACGCACCCCCACCTGGCCCCTCTGGCAGCGGCCCCTGGTCCCCTGTCTGTTGCAGCCCTGCTCCTGCCGTCATCGCTCCCACATGCTGATGGCGCCGGCCCCGCTCGCAACCGTGTGATGGTGGAGTGATTGGGGCCAGTGCCAGCAGTGGGTGTGAGTGGGGCTGGCACCATCAGTGGGTGCAAGCGATGGCTGCTGCCCTGATCACCCCTCAGGAGCAGGGGGAGGTGGAGAAGCACTCAGGGGCAATCGGGGCCAGCAGCCAAGCGATTGGGATTGGCTCCAGGTGCTAGCAGCGGGTACAAGCAGTGGCTCTGGCGCTGGCTGCGGGTGCAAGTGGGTCTGGCACCAGCAGTGGGTGTGAGCAGTGTCTCTGGCACCAGCAGCAGGTGCAAGTGCCAGGCGGGACTGCAGGGCGCAGGAGCAAAGAATTTTTAGTAACAACCAGAGGCTCGCTCCAATGACAGCGACTGGCACCCCACCTTGGTCTGGCACCCCCACTCACCTGCTCTACCATCCCGCCATGGCCGATGCCCACCATTGTCCACATGCGCCCCCTGGTGGCCAGCGCATGTCATAGCAACTGGTTATTCGGTTGTTCCGTTGTTCGGTCTATTTGCAGATTAGCCTTTTATTATATAGGACTAGAGGCCTGATGCACGAAATTCATGCAAGGGGCTTGGCCCCCACTGCTGCAGCGGCTGTCTCTGCCTCAGCCCCCGCCGCTGTGGCTTCGTCCAGAAGGTTGTCTGGAAGGATGTCCGGTCTAATTAGCATATTATGCTTTTATTATTATAGATGCTCTAGTTTTAAAAGAATAGTAAAATATACAAAAGAAATCAGCCATATCTCCCCCCCCCCCCGAGATTACTAGAATATAAGCTCCAAATTTATTTTGTTTATTGTGTTTCCTCAGTGATTGGAACAACAGCCCACGCATTTGGTGTTGAATGAATTGGGATGAGTTTTGTGGGGGTTTTTTGGCGGGGGGGGGGGGGGGAGGACAGGTATTTAGAGGTAGGGTTAGTGTATGCTTTGTAAAGCATTCACCATGAGCAAAAGTATAAAATTCCAGAACAAGAGGACCAGGTTCAGGAGACACAGGTTTGAATCTAGCAGAGATTAAAATATGGGAGTTCCCAGACTAACATATTTTGTTTGCCCTATATGGCATTAAAATAATTTTTGATGAGATGCCAACATTTAAAAATATGACAACTTACAGAGAAATCTGAATATTCAGCTTCTTTTGACAAATTAGAAAGCTCTGGAAACACTGAAGTGAGCAGCAGCTGTCCTGAACAATGCTCGTCTGTTCACCGAACTCCGCTTCAGGTAGCACACTCATGGGGGTTTCCTCTGAGACACTATAGGCATTAGAGTTTGCAGTATCTGGTAGAAGAACTCTGGAACTTCATATAGGAAGCAAGGTTAGGGTCAGAGATACAGGCCATGGGTACCCAAATGGGGAGTTTGTATTTTGTTCAATGGTCAAGAGGAAGACTGAACAGTGTTTGCTTAGTTACTACCATTGTGTAACAAATCATCCCAAAACTTAGTGGCTTAAGACAACAATAATTTATTTAGATCATAATTTTGTGAATGGGCAGTTTTTAAAAACAAAATATTTTTATCGATTTCAGAGAGGAAAGGAGAGAGAGAAACATCATTGGTGAGAATCAGATTGGCTGCCTTCTGCACACCCCCTACCAGGACCTGCAACCCGGGCATGCGCCCTTGACTGGAATCGAACCTGGGACCTTTCAGTCCGCAGGCCGACGCTCTATCCCCTGAGCCAAACTGGCTAGGGCTGAATGGACAGTTTGGTCTGGTTCAGCTGTGTGGCTCTTCTGGTATTGACTGGGCCAGCTGTGTTAGGTTGTCTCTGCTCCATGTATCTCTCATTGTCCAGCATAATAGCCCAGTTCATGTCTGGTTCAGGGTCCAAGAGAGGGAGTGGAAGTGTATAAGGCCTCTTGAAGCCTAGGCTTGGAATGGGCACACCATCGCTTCCACATTTTATTGGCCAAAGCCAGTCGCAATACCAGCCTAGATTCAAGGAGTGGAGAAGTAGGCTTTATTTTTCCCCCCTTTTTAAAAATCATTTTATTGTGGAAAGTTTTAAGCATATTCACCCATATGTACCCATCATCCAGATTCAACAACTAGCAACTCATAGCTAATCTTATTTTACTTTTTTCTTTATAACTAGAGGCCTGTTGCATGAAGAGATTCATGCAATACGCCTTCCCTTCCCCCCGGCTGCTGGCACCGGTTTTTCTCCGGCACCCGGGACCCAGGCCTTCACTCTGGCCGGAGCCGCCTTCAGTCTTCGCTGCTCCGTCCCACTCTGCCGTTTTGCTCCTACGTATGCAAATTAACTGCCATCTTTGTTGGGTTAATTTGCATACTCTCCTGATTGTGAGCATAGCGGAGGAACAGTCAATTTACATGTTTATTAGGTAAGATTATTTTCCCTCCCCCTGAATTATTTTAAATTAAACTCCAGATATATCATTGCATTATCTATAAACCTTTCAGTTTGTAAGAGAGAGTATTTCTTTTCAATTGAAATATAATTGACATACAATAATATATTAGTTTCATGTGTAGATTCCACTTTGCCATGGGAGGAGCTGCAAAGTCACAGTGCTAAGAGGTGTCCATACAGAGAGAGATACGTTTTTGTAAAACATCTATCACAGTTACTATCAGAGACATACTTTTGACAATATAATTTGGAGGGGGATGTGCTCTGCATGACTGGAACTATTTTCTCGTTGTAACAGAGAAGTGCTGCTTCCCTGAATCCATAAATAACTTCATGCTGAGGATAGGAGAGAGAAAGATGCCCAGCTTTCGCCTCTTCCAGTTTCTTGTCCAGCGACTCCTTAGTTTCTGTTTCAATCCACAGCTTTGTAAAAGATAGACAGTTTCTCTGAGATTTCTGTGAATGAATGAGCAGAAAGTTAGACAATAAAAGGGTGCTGAAAGCCAAGCTAGAAGCACAAAGATGTTTCTACACTGCACAACAGTGCATAAACTGCACTCCCTTTGGTCTGGCTGGATGAAGCCTAAACCACCATCTGCATTCATGCCCTAGTGATATGATGTTCCTTCTTACTTGGTCAACTTCTCAAATACAAGTAGCTTCTCAAATACAAAGGAGGGGTAAACTCCCATCTTAGTCCAAATTAGTCTCAGTTTTAGATTCTCTAATACCAGGCTGACCCTGAGTTGCAAGGGAGCCTAGAAGAGGGAAGAAGGAAAGAAGGAAGGGGGAGGAGAGAGGGGGGGCGGGGGAGGGAGAGAGAGAGAGAATGAGAATGAGAGAATATGAATATAGTGAATATAAGCTGGAATAATCTAATTCCCCAACCCACTTTAGACTAAACACCATCCCTTAACACAGAGTTTCTGAAGTCCTGTACTATTGATATTTGGGCTGTAGAATTCTTTGTTGTAGGGCTGTCCTCTGTATTGTAGGATGTTGAGTAGCATCTATCTACTAGATGCCAGTAGTATGATCTACCCCACCCATCGTCCCTGAGTTGTAACAACCAAAAAACGTCTCTAGACATTGCCAAATGTCCCCCGAGGGGCAAAATCACCCTTGCTTGTGAACCATAAAGGAAATCTTTCACAAATGTGAACTAACACATGCGGCTCACATTGTTGGGATCAGAGAGGACCTTACCCTTAATAGAGGGCCGCCTGGAGGGCTCGTAAGCCCGACAACTATCAATGATCTCCTGCAACTGTGAAGGGCAGTCTTCACCCAGTGGCTCCTGGTGCTTGTCTTTAGTTACCAGCTGGCGGATCTTCCTAGAATCACAGCCTGGCATGGAAACAAGAGGATGAGAGGCTGAAATATTGCTCTGGCACTCACACATCTCTCTGGGTGAGGATTGCTGGCATCAGACTTAGGGACTTTAAGTACTGAAGAAACAAGAGCTTCCAATGACTTCAATGACCAGCCCAGGCAGTGCCCACATTGGAGAACAAAACACCCAGGACAGCACTGATGGGGAATTTCTAGTCTTCTGGAAAAGGACCCAATCCCAGCACCATCTGAGCCAACCTTCACCCTGGTTACCTTCAAACGGCGTCTTCCCAGTGACGATTTCCCAGAGGACAATTCCAAAGCTGAAAGAAAACCGAGAAGCTGAACAATCAGAATGTTCCTGTTTTCCCACACCTCTTAGCCATTTCTAGAAACTTCAGTGAATTTTTTGATTGCCACCCAATTCCATTCAACAGAGTAGAGGTATGATGGTGTTTGTATGTGGAGTTTGACTTGGGGTTTCCTGTCCTGTTCATCTGAGTTAGAGTCTGAGCAAGAACATGAACATACCTGTATATTTCAGCTGCTATGTCATATTTATTGTACACATTTTCCAGTATTTGAGGTGAGATATATGCTGTGGAATTGACTGTCCCTTCTTTTTTTCTCTTAGTTGTTCTACCGATGGAAGTCTGTGTTTTGCTCAACTCAAATCCTGAAAGCTAGATAGAGAGGTGAATTAGAGATAGAAAGAAACAACACGATCTTGGGTTGGGAGTAGTGGGCAAGGGCTCGGTGCTACACATGATTGTCGGGGAGAGTCTTTTACCCTTGAAATGTATTTCCAGTGATGTCTTCTCTCTGTGTGGCTACCATACTGGCTGGCATTATGGGTTTTATTTATTATGGTGTATTGACCAAGAGAAACACAAAGGTTTCTTCTCTATAAAATGGGGCAATGAGGATTACCTGAGATAATGGTTATAAAGCACTTGTAAGACTTGGTAAGTTGTAGCTGTTCTAGTATCACTGTATTAGATGCAGTGCTTTCTCAGTTGAGGACGTAACTCCACTAAGTGAGGGTGGAAGAGGTGCATAGAGCTACCGCATGGCTTGTTTTCTCTCAGAAGCAGTTGGAAAAATGACATAGGGCACCCTCTCTGTTGATCTGACCCTATAGAACAGCCAGCCTGTTGCTTTGGATTTTACAGGACAACTCTGAGTTACCCCCATTGACCCTGCATGGCCAATGCCATGCTCTTAAAGAAGCCACAACACGATTAATGGGAGCAGATAGTCTCCTTTCTCCATGTACACCTGTCATTAGTACCATCAGTGTGCAGAGGTGTGCCACCCCCAAACTTGGCTAGATATGCAAGTCTAGGGGCAAGGTGAGGAAAAGGATAAGACACGTAGAGGGCTTATCCGCCACCCTTTTTAAAAAATACGTTTTCATTGACTTTTTTAGAGAGAGAGGATGGAAGAGGAATAGAGAGGTAAAAATATCAATGACAGAGAAACATGGATCAGCTGCCTCCAGCACACACCCCACTGGGGATTGAGCCTGCAACCCAGGCATGTACCTGGACTGGGAATCAAACCAATGACCTCTTGGTTCATGGGTCCACGCTCAACCACTGAGCAACACTGGCCGGGCTCATCCCCTTTCCATTACATGTTTACTGAGCACTAACATCCTCTGACACCTGTCACCATGCTAGATGCCAGAGAGGAAAGGCTGAAGAACACATGTTACAGTCCGGCGGGATGAGGACCCTGAGTGATATAGTCATGGTGTTTTGGGAGCACTTATATCACTCCGACAAGAAGGAATGGCAGAAAAGAACTATCTTCTGTTTTGCGGGGGCTGTCTCTGAAACTCATAATGCTGGAAGAAAGAAAGCCATCTATGGATGACAAAGAAAATATTCTTTTAGCATTTGGGAATTATGGACATTGAGTTAAACCCTTTCTCTTCCTTATTAGAATCCGACTTTTTAGCTCCATTCTCTTGGGAACCTGATAAAAGCAGACTGTCACCTATGCTCTTATGTAATATGTTGATGACAAAAAATGATCACTGATTGGTAAAGCTTATTGTCAGGGTATGCAGACTATAAAGAGCTGATAGGGATGCTGGGATTTGTGGTGAATCTTTTTTTAAAAAAATATATTTTATTGATTTTTCACAGATAGGAAGGGAGAGGGATAGAGAGCTAGAAACATCGATGAGAGAGGAACATCGATCAGTTGCCTCCTGCACACCTCCTACTGGAGATGTGCCCACAACCAAGGTACATGCCCTTGGCCGGAATCGAACCTGGGACCTTTCAGTCCGCAGGCCGACGCTCTATCCCCTGAGCAAAACTGGTTAGGGCATGTGGTGAATCTTATAACTGACATGCCTCCATGGGGACACTTGAAGATATGCCTCAGAAGTTGTTATAATATGACTTCTGAGGGTCATGAGGCTTCTAAGGCTAGAGGACCCCACACCCACCCGAGGGGAGCCTCTTTCTCTAGCACCTGGGGCAGGGCAAAGAGAACACCTCCTGGGTGACTGTGGGACAGCTGTGAGGACTCCACTGGAGAGAAAGATTTGACGCTGCCATGCTGGTAAGCTACGTTTCCTGCATGATACCCTTCTAAGTGACTCCAAATGCCAAGTGTGGCCTATGTCAGTCCTGTAAGTCTGAATGCCTAGTTGGGCCTGAGAAGATCCCCTGGTGGGTATTGGGATGTAGAAGTGGTGTCCAGGAATCTAAAGGGAAATGACTCTCGCCCAGCCAGTGTGGCTCAGTTGGTTGGGCCTCCTCCTATGCACCAGGAGGTGGCTGGTTCAGTTCCTGGTCAGGACACATGCCCAGGTACAGGCTCGATCCCCAATAGGGGGTGTGCAGGAGGCAGCCGATCAGTGTTTCTCTTTCATCAATGTTTCTATCTCTCTCTCTCCCTCTCCCTTCCTCTCTCTCTGAAATCAATAAAAACATATTTTAAAGATTATTTACTCCCAGTCTCTTATAAAAATAAGGGAAATGACTTTTAGCCCGTCCCTGCTAAGCAGGTGGTGAGTGAAGACAGGCATCCTAACAGGCAGGATTGAGTCTGACCTATGGTGGGCACCCGGAAAGCTGTCCAGGCAGGGAAAGGGTTTTGAGTTCAGTTCTAAGGCAGAGTTAAGGCAGAGAAACAACCAGGCACAGCTTTTCTGGGCAACAGGTGTCCCTCTCCCAGCACCAAACAGTCACCAAGGTTGAACTCAAAGAGCCCCCTGGAAGGCCACACTCACCTTCACTTGGTAGTTGTTAGTTACTAGGAAGCTCCTGCTGCTGATGTTTCTATGGAGCTCAGGGGCTTCGGACCGGTGCAGCCTGACATGACCAAAGGCAGGGAGCGTTAGTGACCTTCGGAAGACCTTCCCGGGCGGCTTGACAGTTATTACCGGAACAAGGAGGCTGGTCAGTACCGTGCCTCTCCCCCTTGTACCTCAGTTGTGGGCTCGACCCCTGGTCAGGGCGAGGGCTGGAGGCAACCAATTGATGTGTCGCTTTCACATCGATGTTTCTCTCTGTCTCTCCCCCTCCCACTTTTTCTAAAAATCAATGGAAAAATATCCTCGGGTGAGGATTAACAACAAAAACTTAAGGAAGGGGAGACTATCTTGGGCTTCTGGCCTGTTCTCTCATCCTCTCTGGGATATCAGTAGGGAAGGAGGACTCATTCTGTTCTTCTCAGCATATGGTACCTGTATAAGCCATTGGCTGCCCCCACGGCCAGGACGATGCGTTCAGCCAATGTGAGGTCCTTTTTCTGATCCAGCAGTTCCCGGAGGGTCCCGAGCTCACAGTACTCCATGACAATGGAGAATTGAGGTGGGGTCACTGATGGAAAGAAGATCAGCCCCACTCAGAGGTCCTGCTCTGCAGCCCATCTCCCCCTATCTCTACAGACACAGAAATCAGCGCTGCACTGCTTTTCCCCCACCCTCTCCCCATCTCACACAGTTTGCATCCTGACCTCACTGAATGGGTCAAATACCCACAGAGTTCCCATACCTCTTCTTCATAGTATTTGGCATGTCGTAATTATACATTCTCTTAGTTATTTGAGTAATGTCTCCCCTACTCAAGTTCAGATCCCAGAGGGCAGGCTCTGTTTTGTTCACACCCTCAGATGCAAGAACCGACACACAAAGAATGAGTCAGTCACCTCAGCCATCACCCAGGAGACCAGATATCACTGGAAATTTTCCTTTAGTTGAGGGAGGCTGTAGAGAAACGTCTAAAGGGGAATGAAACATTTAAAGGGGTTGCTCTGTCCCCTCTGTAAGCAAGAGCAACAATGCATAACCCACAGGAGAGGCCATGCTATGAGGGAAAATGCAGCCACATTAAAAAATTAAAATGAAAAAGAATCTGACGCATGAGGTTCTTGGTCAAGGGGCAGGTTAATTGAGTCTTGGGTTTGATCTACACTAATGATGATTCAGGGTAGATTCCTTATACTGATCAGTCAGCTTTATCATGTTTTATTGCAACAAGATGCTTCCATCACTCAGGCCAGTATCTGAACAAGATCTCCAGTAGACTGGGAGAGGAGGAGGTGGCCACATTAGTGTAAATCAGCCCTCAGGATGAAGGCAAATTCAAGTCCTTGTTTCTGGAAAGGATATGGGAACCTGCATCTTGGGATGCAGAAAAACGAACACTGATCATAATAACACTGTGTAGATCCCACCCTTCCAGCTTTTCTTTAAAAAATGCAATGCATTATAAGATATATGACAGACCACCAAAAGAAGGACCAACCCCAGAAGCACTCCTTACCTGTTTCATCAATGCAAATCCCAAATATACGCAGGATGTTAGGAGAATCAAATTTCTTCATGGTTGTGACCTCATTATTGAAAACATGCCTCACTGTTCTATGAGGATGAAAGGGACAATTAAGATTTCAAGATGGGAGGGTCCCTCTGAGAACATTTAGTGTAGGGACCATCTGTGCACGTGTGGGGGATTGTCAGCATCCTGGGGTGAGATGAGCTTGGCCACTGATGGCAGTGTTTAGCAGTAGAATTAGCATGCACAATACATGCTACAACATAGATTTACCTTGAAAAGATCATGCTAAGTGAAAGGAGTCAAACACAAAAGGCCACATATCGTATCATTCCATGTGTGCAATATCCAGAACACACACATCCATAGAGACAGAAAGTAGATTAGTAGGTGCCTAGGGCTAGAGAAGGTGGGGGTAGCAGTACATGGGGAGTGACTGGTAAAGGGTCTAGGGTTTCCTTGTGGGATGATGCAAATGTCCTAAAAATCACTTTATGGCAATGGTTGTACAACTCTGTAAATATATTAAAAGCCATTAAGTTATACACTTTAAATGGGTGAATCTTATGGTATGTAAATGATGTTTCAATAAAGTTATTAAAAATACTATCCCAATCCAAATCTCAATGTGTATGTTGAGGAATGTGATATTTATGTAGCTTAGTCAACCTGAGAAAGAAGAGCCAAGATGGAGGGAGTTACCTTACTAGATACTGAGAATTACTAAAAAGTCATCATAAAAACAAAACGGTGTTATTGGTGCAAAGACAAATTGACCAGTGGAATGTAATAGAGAGGTTAGAGCCAGATCCATGTCTAAATAGAAACTTAACATCCAACAAATGTGGCACCACAAGTCAATGGGGAAAAACATTTACTAGCTGCTGTAGAGAAAATGGATTCATTGTATAGATAAAAAATAAAGCTAGGCCTTACATAATATCAAAGGTGGGTTCCAGGAGAATTAAAGCCTAATGTGAGAAATAAAACTCAGTTAATAGAAGAAATCTGGAATGCCTAGGGGAGTGGAAGGGCACCTCAAGAGCACAAATACATAATAAGGTAACATTTTGGTAGAATTAATAACATCGAAATTTAAGATGTCTGTTGATGGACACCACTGGCAAAATTAAAGTATAGACAATATGATGAGAGAAGACCTTTGCAATATCTCAAACTTAGAAATGATTAATTGCCACAATATACATGTTTATCTTCTACAAACGGACGTGACAAAAACAGCAACCGCGACAGAAAGAAGGGCAATATAGAGAAGTGGAAACCCACATAGCTAAAAGCCATATGAATAAATGTTCAAATTCATTAGTAAACAGAAATGCAAGTCAAAATAGCGATAGGATGTTACTTTATAACCATAAGCATGAGAAAAACGAGAAAGCTGGATAACACTAAGAGTTGGTAGAGATATGTAACTCTAGAGCTCTCACACATTGCTGGGGAGAGTATAGGCACCTGCAACCCACTCTGGTAGTACTTAGTCAGTTTCATATCAGCATGACCCATTGAGTCCCCTCCTGGCAACACAGCCCAAAGAAATTCCCATACAGGTCCATAAAGGGGTACTTATGGTGGCATTATTTTTGGTGGGGGAACGTTGGAAACAGGTCGGGTTCCATCATTGGAAAAATAGGTAAAATGTGGGTCTACACCGCAGACAGCAGTCAGAAGGAAAGGGCCACAAGTACAATACTAGTTCCCTGATGCTGAGTGGAAAAGGTAAGAACAGTAGGCAACAGACATATAACACGACCGCTTGTGAAAATAAAAGAAGCACGCACATATAACAACAACATACATTTTACAAGAACACCTACAAACAAAACACACTTTATTGCCTGTGGAGGAGATGGGGAACTGAGAAATAGGAATGGAAGGGAATACACATTTTTAAATAACTTTTATTATACATTTATTTCTTATTTAGGCAAACTTTTATTATACATTTATTTCTTATTTATAAGAAATAAATGTATGAATAAAAGAGAGAAGTTTCTAGAACTGAGGTTGGAAGACATGCACATAAAGTCTAGGCTCTGCTCCTTAAGAGTAGAGGGCAAGTCATTTCACCCTTTGGGGCCCCATTCTCCCACCTAATGGAGACAATACGCCTCTCTCCTTGGGGAGTTTTAGAGAGGAAGTGAAGTGATACATGAGATAGTAACTATACAAAAGCACTTACCCAGGGTTTCTGGTCTGGACGTTGTTGAATACTTTTATGGCCACTGGAGATTGGTAATATTTTCCTTTAAAAACTTCGCTGAATTCATTTTTCTTTAGAGAGATCCAATCAGAAAGCTCCTCCTTCTTAATCTCCTTGATTTTATATGCGAGGACCGCCTTTATTGATGTCTGTAATTCTGACCGTAGGACAGAAGGAAATAGAGTCAATGAGCTGAGGAAGGTGTCCTAAGGGAAGAGGTGTCTCTGCAAACAATGTAAGTGGGAAGCCTTACGCCATGACCCAAAGCTGGCCCTGGCGGGACCTTCTCGCTCACTCAGCCTGGGGAAGAGGTTCCAGAGCCTCTGAGTGACCAGTAGAGACACAGCTGGATGGTTAACAAAAATGTGTCATGCACTTCCTGCCCCTCTTCTTCAAGTCCTGTCTGTCTCTCCAGCCTAAACCTCCATCTCAATCCGTCTCTCTCGTTTGGGAGCCCTTCCTACTCCTACTGCCACTTGAGCTCGGCACTTGAACATTTAGCATCTTGTTTAGTCATTTCAGCTCTAATCGTGAGATACATAGTTCAAGCTGAGTGACTCCACTGCTGGTGTGTGTTCACACGACTCTCTTTCCTCTCCCTCCCTCCTACCCTGTGGCTGTGAGCTCCCCTAAGGCAGGGTCTTTCTCTGCATCTGACTTGGCTCTACGTACAAGGCTCTGACAGCAGATACAGATTGGTCAAGTGAGTGATGACTGAGTATTCTAAATTTGATTTGCATTTGTTCTTGGGAATTCAGCAAAAGAAGCTTCGATACTATCTAGAGCAGTGGTTCTCAACCTCCCTAATGCCGCGACCCTTCAATACAGTTCCTCATGTTGTGGTGACTCCCCACCATAAAATTATTTTCGTTGCTACTTGATAACTGTAATTTTGCTACTGTTATGAATCGTCATGTAAATATCTGATATGCAGGGTGTATTTTCATTGTTACAAATTGAACATAATTAAAGCCTAGTGATTAATCACAAAAACAATATGTAATTATATATGTGTTTTCCAATGGTCTTAGGCAACCCCTGTGAAAGGGTCGTTCGACCCCCAAAGGGGTCACGACCCACAGGTTGAGAACCGCTGATCTAGAGGCAAGTTGTCAGCGCTTAGACCGGTACTAGAAGGTATCTTGGGGGTTAAGAAGTTCCCTTCAAATGCTACTCCATGGACAGAAGCCTGGGCTAAGTTATGAGCACATCCGCAAACCTGTGGGCTGTTTCCAACCATCCAGCCTAGAAAATGGGCAGTGGTGGGGTGGGGGAAGACTGGAGTTCCTACTGAACAAATGACTTTGGTTTGGGGGCAGTCAGAAGCAGCAGGTCACAGGTAACTCACGGCGCCTCATGATTTCTTCCACTGCATTTTTCACTTGCTCCACTAAAGCTTCGATAATTTCACTTCCTGCTGGAAAAAAGAGTAGCAAATACTCAAAAATAGAAATGCGAATTAAAAGCACACCAAGGTCCCATTTTCTTTTCTTTTTCTTTTTTTTTTTTTTTAAAATGGTGAGACTTTTTTTAATTTTTTATATATATTTTATTGATTTTTTACAGAGAGGAAGGGAGAGGGATAGAGAGTTAGAAACATCGATTCAGCTGCCTCCTGCACACCTGCCACTAGGGATGTGCCCGCAGCCAAGGTACATGCCCTTGACCGGAATCGAACCCGGGACCCTTGAGTCCACAGGCCGATGCTCTATCCATTGAGCCAAACCGGTTACGGCTGGTCCCATTTTCTTTAACTTATCATATTCATTGCAGTAGGGATTACTACTACTGCTCACGAATATTCATCTTTCTACTTCTTTTTAAAAAAAAATACATTTTGTTGATTTTTTTACAGAGAGGAAGGGACAGGGATAGAGAGTTAGAAACATCGATCAGCTGCTGCCTCCTGCACACCCCCCACTAGGGATGTGCCCGCAACCAAGGTACATGCCCTTGACCAGAATCGAACCTGGGACCCTTGAGTCTGCAGGCCAACGCTCTATCCACTGAGCCAAACTGGTTAGGGCTAGTCTTTCTACTTCTAAGCACACAGTGAATGCCTTGAAGCATGGCCGTGTCACTCGCTTTGACTAAGAAATGAAGCGGAAGAAATGCGAAGGAAGTTTGTGTCAATGCGAACGTGCCATAACCTTGGAAGTTCCTGGAAAGGACAGCTGCTACCTTGGAGTCTCCTGGACTTTGCCTAAATAAGAAATAAAGTTTTCTTTCTGCGAGACACTGTTGTGTGGTTGGTTTGGTTTTTTTACACCATAGCATAATCTCATCTATCATTATTTATATAATCAGAAATACATTTAAAACCTGATAGGACCTTCAGTGCTAAAGCTAATGAAGAAAAGTGTGGAGAACCACAATCTCATACATAGCTGGTAGGAATGATATTGATCTAACCTCTGTAGAGGACAATCTGGCAATCTCTATCAAAATTTTAAGTGCCAGGGGGAGGGGAGGAGGCTGGGGACATCTGTAAAAAAAAAAAAAAAAAAAGTAAAGTGCTCATACTCTTTGACCCACTTATAGGAATTGTTCCTAAAGATATCCTGAAATATATGCGAAGATGCTTAAGGCAGGACTACTTACAATTGTGAAAAACTGGACACAGCTCAAATGTTCGTCAATAGGGAGGTGTTTAAATATATCTGGCCCACCCTAACCGGTTTGGCTCAGTGGATAGAGCATCGGCCTGCGGACTGAAAGGTCCCAGGTTCGATTCCGGTCAGGGGCATGTACCTTGGTTGCGGGCAACATCCCCAGTAGGGGGTGTGCAGGAGGCAGCTGATTGATGTTTCTCTCTCATCAATGTTTCTAATTCTCTATCCCTCTCCCTTCCTCTCTGTAAAAAAATCAATAAAATATATTTTAAAATGAATGAATGAATGAATCAATCAATCAATCAATCTGGCCCATGAATACCAATGAATACGAGGCAACTCTATGAAAATTAATATGGATGAATATTCAAGATTTAATGAGAAAAGCAAGAAGCAGAGCAGTGTGTTTAGGATGCTACTGATAGTGTAACAGTGATAAAAAAAAATCTATATCCTTAAATATCTGGAAGGCTATTCAATGAACTGGTAAAGAAGATTATGTCTGGGAAGGAAACAGTTCCTTTGAGGTCAAGGGTGAGAAGGACATTTACTTCTCATGCTGGGCCCTTTTTGTACCTTGTGAATGTATTACTTGATAAAAGTGTTTTTAAAAACTGAAAAGCCTCACTCATTTATGACTAATAAAGACCATTATAAACTGATGAACAAAAACAGATACAGAGGCAGAGCAGCATTAAACAGACTGTCAAACTACAGCAGGAAGGCTGGGGAGGGTTGGGGGGGCGGCGGTAAGAGATCAACCAAAGGACTTGTATGCATGCATATAAGCATAACCAATGGATATAAGACACTGGGGGGTAAGGGAGGCTGGGGGAAAGTCAAGGGGGGAAAAAAAAGGAGACAAATGTACTACTCTTTGTAATATTTTAAGCAATAAAAAACAAACAAACTGAAAAGCAAGAGCAGAAAGTAAATCCTGTCCTCCAAGTTGATGACACCAACATGCCCCCCACCTTTCCCAGGAAGTGGGCCAATGAGCGCTGAAGATTAGGAAGGCTGGGGGCCAGTCCTGTCTTTCAGCTGGGTTGGCCCCTGCACACACCTCTTTCCCCTGGCCCCCAACCCCTGATTCTGTTTCTCTTTGTTGGGTGTTTGGTTGGAGGATTACAGGTGTCCCACTTTCCCTCGTCCAGAAAAGAACCCATTTTGCCCACAGGTCTCTTCTAGGCGCAGTTTGTCCTGGTTGAGTGTCCCCTGCTGACCTGATTGGGGATGGACCACCTTCCACATCAAGGTGGCAGAACAGTTATTTTGCTGGTCTCCAGTGCCCAGAAGGGAAGAGTTTAGAATTCCTTACAAAAGGGAAGAGTTTAGAATTCCTATCACCAGGATCTGCAAAGGGGTAAAGAGGCCACATTTGTTTCCATCCTTCTGCTCTGTTCCCTCTTCTGGTGGCCCTGGCCCACTGCCTCCCCTATTCCAACCTAGCCCATGTTTCATCCCTAAGGCCTTGACCTCCACTAAAGTCCACCAAGTTCAAGGGCCACTCTAGTTCAAGCCACCATCATCTTTTACCTAGTCTCAAAGCGGCTCTTAACTAGGCTCACATTTCCACTCTTGCCCTCTGGGGTATGTTGAATGATTGGTCCCAATTCTTCACTCCTATGTAATAGTCTTATACATCCACACCATTATAGCTTCATAGCGGGCACACTATATTTCCCTGTCCCTTCATGTTGGGCTTGGCTGTATCAATGGCTTTGAATATTAGTGGACAAAAGTAGAGTGGACAAGGTGCTGGTATTGTGGAGCTTGCCTTCTTGCAATTCTGCCAAAAGAACATTCTCCAAGGACTCACTGCTCCTACAACCTTGGCTACAGAATGAGACACGTTAAACAGACCCAAATTAGACCTGCTGCCTGGAGCCCAGCCCAGCCAAGGCCACTGAGATCAGAAGAATCCCAAGTGGACCCACAGATCTGTGAGCAGGAGAAGGAATGACTATTGTTTCAAGCCTCTGAGTTTTGGGGTGGTTTGTAATTGCAGTATTAGTACAGCAACTGACTAATACGTATCATTACAGTCCATCGCCACATGGCAGCCCAAGTGATGTTCTTTAATACAAGTCAAATCATGACAGGCCCACGTTTAAGACCTCCCTTTCCTGGCTCCTATGACTCAGAATAAAACCTATATTTCTTTTCATGCCTTCATGGCCCTGTATGACCTTGCTCCTGTATCTTCCGGCCTCCTTCTCCACATCCATCTCATACTACTCCCTCTTCCATGTCTACCCCACCAAAGCCATCCTGCCTTCTGGTTGTTCCTTCTGGTTGTTCCATTTATTCCCCATCTCAGGGGCTCTGCATCTCCTGTTTTCTCTGCTGGGAATGCTCCTCTCCCTCATCTTCATATGGCTTGCTCCTTCTCATTATTCAAGGCGTCCATTCCAATGCCACCGGTTAGAGAAGCTTTCCCTGGACACTCAGTCTGCACCCGCTGTCACTTTCTATTCCATTGCCCTGCTTATGGCTTTCATTGCTTTTAAATAAAATGACTTAGACCTCTATCTGCAGACTTTATGTTTCAAGAGGGCAGAGGTTTTGTCTATTTTTCTCTGTGTTATGTCTCAGAAACGTAGAACACTAGCTGGCATACAGTAGGTACAGTTGTGTGCTTCATAATGTTGAGGTCAGCGATGGACTGCATATATGATGATGGGCCATAAGCTTATAATGGAGCTGAAAATTTCCTATCACCGAGTGAGGTCCCACAGTGATTACTTATGTGTTTGTGGTGATGCTGGTCTCAGCAAACCTACTACCTTGCTAGTCATATAAATGTATAGCACATACAATTACAGTGAGGCCTTGACTTACGAGTGTCCCGACTAACGAGTTTTTCGAGATACGAGCCGTCTCTCGGCCGATTTTTGCTTTGAGTTGCGAGCTAAAATTCGGGTTACGGGCCAGCTTCAGATACCCCACCGCTAGTTGGCGCAGCGAACGTCACTGTGAACGCCACAACATCAGCCCAGCATCGCGTGTCTCACTCGTTCACTTTTTGATTTGACATACGAGTAATTTGAGTTACGAGCTCTGTCACGGAACGAATTAAACTCGTAAGTCAAGGCCCCACTGTATGTACAGTACATAATACTTGATAATAAGTGACTAGGTTACTGGGTTATGTATTTACTATACTATCCTTTTTATTGTCATTTTAGAGTGTACTCTTTCTACTTATAAAAAAGCGTTTACTGTAAAACTGTATGCAATATTATGCCAGCAGCAACCTCATAGATCTCGTGTTTACTCTGTCTCCTGATTGCATCATATTCTCTTGACTTAATCTTTTGTTGGTTTGTACAGTCGAATGTCGTACAGGCTTGTGGCCTAGGAGCAATAGGTTATAACGTATAGCCCAGGTGTGTAGGAGGCTAGACAATCTAGGTTTGTGCAAGTGCACTCTGATGTTCCCACATCGCTGAAATCGCCGAATGACACATTTCTTTGAATGTATCCCTGCCATTGAGTGGCACGTGACTATACTCAATTCATGTTTGCTTAGTTAATTAGTTAGTTCTTCCTCCTGATAATTTACATATTAACAGAAGGTCCTGGAAAAAGTAAGGCTGGAAGGAATTAGCTTCTGGAATTCTAGGTATTACATCAAAAAGAATGAAGAAGCAAAGAAGACATTAGTATCAACACCCCCAACCTCTCTCCTACTCTGGCTTGCCCAAATTTCACCAGGTCCCCCGCCCCCCACCATATCTGGGCCCATGGATGTTAGGAGTTCTGAGTCACATGAATGACATCTGCTCAAACCTCTTCAGCCTTCCTGCTTCTCTGGTAAATCAAAACGAGACTAAAATGCCCCCATTTACTCCCCCTGACAAAAGAAGCCTTACCAGTTAGACTCTGGAAGGCTTGCCAATCTTCCTCTGCATCCTGCTGATCCTCTTTTTTCCAGGCTTCTTTGCTGATGCTTGAAATAGACACCCCCTGATACACCTGAAGCGCCAGTGAGAGCTCCTGGTAGACATCGTTCAGCCTATTGTTCACATCTGTAAAGAGTTCTTTGTTCTTCCCTGATTTTAGAAACTTATGGAGAAAGGACTTATTGCTAAACTTATCTATCTTCTTCTCGGCTTCCTCGAGGGCCGCCTGGAAATTGTTCAGGGCAGTGATGATCCCAGGGGACAGATTCTCCTCTCCTCGGGTCTGGAGCTCTTGCAGAGGCTGCAGCAGGCCGTGGATGCGGTTCCTTAGACGTTTGTACTGTCCCTCGCAGTGTTGCATCTTTTCACATAGTTCGTACACATACTGGGCCCAGGAGATGACGTTCTTCAATATATCCATACCTGGAAGAAACTGATGCAATCTGTTCAAGTCCCAGAAATCTCCTGCATATTTACAACTGGGCTACAGGAACCTCCGGGGTGTCTGTGATTTAAATGGCTGAAGAATTCTCCCCACAATTTCATATAAGGTAGAGATGGCTTGACGTCCACCAATATCTGTTCTGCCCTTCCATAATAACAGAGCTGTGGCTGGGAAGTGTCGGCTCACCTAGGACTATATCTCCCAGCCTTCCTTGAGGCTTGATGTGGTCATATGACTAGTTCTCGCCAATGGGGTGAGAGTGGATATGATATGTGCTACTTTGGGCTGAGGTGGGTTTGTCTCCTCTACACACTATCAGCTGGATGCATAGGATGACACAGCCCTAGGGGTGTTGGAGTCCCGAGAAAGAAGGTAGAGTCTCAAGAAGGAAGAATCCTGGATCCCCGATTCATCATTTGGAGGAGGGCTGCTCACAGACCTGGACCATCTGCCACGGACTGTTAAGTGAATGAGGAATAAACTTCTATTGTGTTTGAGCCATTATATTTTGGTGTCTGGTCATTATATCAGTTTAGCCTATTCTAACAAAAATATCCTGCCAAAGTATAGGGGTGACGATAGGATGGTGGGTTGGAAAGCTCAGGCCCTGTCTAAAGAAGGCAAGGGTTAGCCAGCAAGGATAAATGGGCCAGTGGTGGAAGATCTTCCAGTTTTGAAAGAGCAGACAGAGCCCTAACCGGTTTGGCTCAGTGGATAGAGCGTCGGCTGCGGACTGAAGGGTCCCAGGTTCAATTCCGGTCAAAGGCATGTACCTTGGTTGCGGGCACATCCCCAGTAGGGGGTGTGCAGGAGGCAGCTGATCAATGTTTCTCTCTCATCGATGTTTCTAACTCTCTATACCTCTCCTTTCCTCTCTGTAAAAAATCATTAAAATATATTTTTTTAAAAAGAAAGCGCAGACAGAAATCTGGATTTTTATGTTAAATCTCTCAGTTTAAAATCTTGCAACCAACCCTGGCCAGGTAGCTCAGTTGGTTAGAGCGTCGTGCCAATACATCAAGTTGCAGGTTCGATCTCCTGGCAGGGCACACACAAGAAGCAACCAATGAATGCATAAATAAGTGGAACAACCGATATTTCTCTCTCTCTCAGATCAACTTTAAAAAATATAAAATCTTGCAACTAAGTAAAAAAATGTGCAGTCCAACTCTGTGGGTCAAATAAAACATGTCTGCCAACTGGATATTGCCCACGAAGCCCCAATTTGCAACCTTGGCCACAGTTGGCCAAGGATACTGAGGATTGTAACAGAACTTGGCTTCTGTCAGTCTCAGCTTTTCCTTTCTATCTCTTTTCCCAATGCTTGAGCATCCCTGTCTCCCTAGTGCTCGTCCCCAGCTCTCTCTGCTGCGTTTTTAGAAAGCTGTGCATTTGTTATAGCCTACCCATTGTCTATGCACCCATGACTTCATTATGTAAGTGCTGCTCCCTCAGAGGCATTTGCACTAAAGACTCAGGGGTTTCCCAGGAACAAAGGAATCGTGGTGAACATCGGTGTTGCCCTCACAGCACCCACTTTCCTACCTCCTATTACTGCCCAGATTTTAAGTGGCTATTGTTCCTCCCTCATTCAGCAATGAGTGTGTAGGGAGCTGGCCCCTCTTCTAGAGGTGAAACCTGATGTATCTAAGCCAGTGGTTCTCAACCAAAGGTGATTTTGCCTCCAGAGGACTTCTGGCAATGTGATTGCTACTTACATCTGGTGGGTAGATGTTAGGGTGCTATAATGCATAGGACAACCCCTCCACAGCAAAGAATTATCCAGCCCCAAAGGTCAATAGTGCTGGGGTTGAGAAAACGTGATCTAAGCCATCAGGTAATTCCTAATAGTCTTTCACAGTGATTGATTCAAAATTGGGCACGCGGGCTAACTTGAGTGGAGGGGAATGGTTGCCGGGGAGATTCCTGTATCCCCTAAGACAGCCCAGGAAGCCAGCTTCTAACTCTTAATTTCTCTCCCCCTCCCTCTCTCTTTCATCTGAATATGGGTGAATGAGTGAGAAACATGGAGCCCCAATCCCAAAGCCTTGGGATGAGCAACCTACAAATGACAGAATGCAAAGGAAAGGAAAGAAAATGCAAAGGTTTGAACTGACCCTGAAGTCTACCCCATTTCTCAATTACATGTTTCATGAACCAATGACCTTTCTTATTATTTAAGCCAGTTTGAATCATGCTTGCTGTACTTGTAACTAAAGGCAACCTGTTTCAGTAATGAGTGATGATAATAACAATGATCACAAATCTCCCTATTCAGTTAGTATATACTATGAACTTTGGAACCATGAGTTCACTGTTTTATAGTTGGAGATACTTAGGCTCAAGGAAGTTGTATTTAAATAAGTACAAAACCATAGTAATGGTTTCCAAAGTACTTTTAAACAGTTAATCTCAGCAGCTCCATGAAATAGGTGGGACACTATTATCACCATGTTAAAGATCAGATAACAGTTTGGAGAACTGCATTGGCTTGACACCCAAATCTGGCTTTAAAGTGATGAGTGAAAAACTAGCGGAAGTGAAACCAACTGAACAACCAGTGGGTACACTTTTGTTTTTCTTGCCTTAAAGTTATATGGACCTTGCCAGGGAAGTGACAGGTGTTAAGGCATGTCTAAAAAGACTCAGTGGATTGCATACTACCCAGCTACTCCCAGTTGCTAAGCAAATGCCTTCAAAGCCATTTCTTGGCACCCATGAGGGCAATGAGCTTTACACTTTTCTCTGGTCCAGATGTGAAAGTGTTGCTCAAGGAATCTTGCAGATTTCAGTTTCATAGCTTCAAGCTCCAATTATCCTATTACCAGCTTCATAAAAAAGCTACATCTCCACAATAATTAATCAGAAAAGATAATGGGGAAATACCCCACTCATAAAAGTGACAATTTAAAACAATACATTTTACAGAAGTGATGATGTGGTATGAAGAAAATCACACAAAACAAAGCTTTAAAAAAATGGAGAGAATTGTTATATCTCTGGCTGTGAAGATTAAAAATGACAAGCCAGACAATCCTTCCCCAATTTAAACCCAATTTAAAGCAATTCCAACAAAACTCCCAATGGTATATTTTGGTATTGAAACAAAATGTTCCTAAAGTTAATTTCAAAGAGGAAAGTGGTAGGAATAACGAGATTTTTAAAAACAAATAAGAGGGCTTATCTATAAGATGCAAATCTATTAAAAACTGCAATAACTGAAACTGCTTAGGGCTTATTAACCATTGATAAAGATATCAAAAGGATAAGAGGGAATATATACATATTTTTTGACTCAACAATGTGAATTTCTAGGAACTTATGCTGTAGAAAAGCTTGTATGTGTATAGAAAGATATATACTAAGATGTTCATTGCAGTGCTATTTATAATATGGAAAGCTGCTAACAAGGAGAGGGAAAATTTACTATTTTTAAAAGTGAAAAAATCTTTAAGTGGCATAACAATATAAATCCATAAGTAATCTAATGGCATTTCCTTTTCTCCTCAAAATAAATAAAATAAAATAATAAAATAAAGAGGTATCAGACATCCTTTCCTGATGAGGGCATTATCACTCAGTAGGCTTCTTAGGCAATTTACCCACAGACAGCCTGGAGTTCCTCTGTCTACTAGGGCTTCTTGGACGGCTCCTCTGAGCGGGTTCCCAGGCCCCTCCGACCCCCATCCATTCCACCTCTTCTTTGGCAGAAAGCAGTGAGTCATTCAGAGACCCGCGCGGGCTGCTCTACCATCAGAGCGCAGGAAATGAAACTAACCCGGACCCGAGTTCCGGGGAAATCGAACAGTGGGCCACCCCACCCTCCGTTACTCCCCCACCTCCCCTCCCGGCCCAGGGACCCCACCGCAGCCCCCTGGCCCCGCAAGGCGGACCGCGCCCGGAGACCACACCAGACTCACCCTTGTCCCTCCCGAAGGCGTCCACTCTGCCCGGTGCACAGTCCAGGAGGCCCGCTCCAGCCAAGCAGAGGCTGCCTATGCCCAGCGGAGAAGTCTGTGGACGTGAGGCCACAGGGGAGTCCCGAGTCCCTGTGCCCGCTTCCCTCCGGGGCTCCGCGCTCTGCGCTCCCGCTCTGCGCTCCCGCTCCCTCTTCCCGCCTAGGACTGTCTGTCGTTGGGGTTGGGGTTGTGCCTGAACCGCTCGGTCCTGCACTCTCCAGAGGCCACCGCCCCAAGGCTGGCACGTGGACAGTGAAGTCTGACCAGCCCGGGAGCTTTTCAAGTCTGAGCCCACGGCTCAGGTGCCCTGGATCGTAGAGCCCCTTTCTAGAAAGTTCAGAGCGGAGTCTCCTCCCTTCCTCCTGGCAGTTTCCTCCTGCGCTTTCCACCCTCCCCCTCCTTCCTGCATTCACTCGGCAGCTAGTTCTAGAACACACTAAGTCCTCACTTAAGGCTCCCTGTAGGTTCTTGGACTGACTTTAAGGGGAACCTCATATGAGGAAACCAATTTGACCATAGGCTACATGGTATGCACAAGAGTTAAGTTTCTACAGCATATTTCTGGTCGCAAAAACATCACCAAACTTCTAATAAACACCCCAAACACTTACAGTAAACATTGGAAAAAATGTGAACTCCATGTACATGTAAGAAAGACTAAAAAAACCAGATAGGATTGTATTTTCCAACCTGCTCATCCCAGTTCAGGGCTGGGTGGCTGAAGCCTCTCCCCGCAGCTCAGGGCGCAAGGTAGGACCCACCTGGACAGGATGCCAGGAAGTGCTTTCATCACACACACACACACACACACACACACACACACACACACACACACACACCACACTCACTCAGACGGGGACAACTAGACTCACCAACTCACCTCACGGGCACATCTTTGGGATGTGGGAGGAAACTGGAGGCCCAGAGAAAAGCCCAGCAGACCTGGGGAGATGGTGCAAACTCCACACAGACAGTGGCCCTGGCTATAAAGTGTTTTCTTTTTCTTTTCTTTTCTTCACATCCATGTTATAACAAAACCACATCGAACAAGCCTATGTTATTTGAGGGTCTGCTGTTCTCACTGTGACAGGCCCTCTGCCTGGGGCCGGGGATTCAGGAAGGAATATAGTGTCCCAGAGAGGTACTGTAACTAAGACACAGGATGCAGAAAGAGCACTTCACAAGACTTAACACTCCTTTGTGACAAAACTCTCAACAAACTAGGAGCAGGAGGAAACTGTCTAAACATAATAAAGAACCTATATGACAAGGCCACAGCTAACGTCATACTCAATGATGAAAAACTGAAAACTCTTCCTCCAAGATAAAAAATAAGGCAAGGATGCCCACCCTCCCAACTTCTGTTCAACATAGTGATGGGAGTCCTAGCCAGAGCAATTAGGCAAGATATCCAGGTGGAAAAATGAGGAGTAAAGTTGTGTCTGTTTAGCCGAAACCGGTTTGGCTCAGTGGATAGAGCGTCAGCCTGCGGACTGAGAGGTCCCAGGTTCGATTCCGGTCAAGGGTGTGTGCCTGGGTTGCGGGCGCATCCCCAGTGGGAGATGTGCAGGAGGCAGCTGATCGATGTTTCTCTCTCATCGATGTTTCTAACTCTCTATCTCTCTCCCTTCCTCTCTGAAAAATCAATAAAATATATTTTAAAAAAAAGAAAAAAAAAGTTGTGTCTGTTTATAGGTGACAAGATCTTCATATAAACTCCATTAAAAAACAACAACGACAACAAACACACAGAGCTCATAAACAAATTCAGTGAAGTTGCATGATACAAAATTAACATACAAAGAACCAGTATGTTTTTATTCACTAACAACAAACTATCTGAAAAGGAAATCAGGAAAACAATCCAATTTACAATAGCACCAAAAAGAATAAAATACGTAGGAATAAATTAACTAAGGTGGTGAAAGAATTGAACACTGAAAACTACAAACCTTCAATGAAGAAAATTAAACAAGACACAAACAAATGGAAAGACACCCCTTGTTCATGGATTAGAAGATTTAATATTGTTGAAATGTCCATACGTCCAAAAGCAATCTAGAGATTTGATGCAATCCCTATCAAAATCCCAATGTCATTTTTTACAGAGGTAGAAAAACAATACTGAAGTTAAATATGGAACCACAAAAGACCATGTGTGAATAGACAAATCACTCTTGAAAAAGAAGAACAAAACTGGAGGTATAACACTTTCTGATTTCAAAATATATTACACTAGAGGCCCAGTGCAAGAAATTTGTGCACTGGTGTTGGGGGGGCGTCCCTCTCACAGTCCGGGAGCCCCATGATCGATCGCCCCAAAGAGGTAGCCCCAGCCCACCCAGCTGGGGCTCCGTGATGGATTGCCCCTGCAGAGGGAGGCCCTGCCCACCCGCCACAGCATTGGGTCTCCCTCTTTGGGGTGATCATGGAGCCCCCTGATTGATCACCCCGTCGGCCAGTGGCCTGGGCCTCCATCTGCAGGGCAATCATTGGGTGATGGCCGGGCCCCCGACCAATCGCATCGCACCCACCTTGCCTGGCCTGGCGCCAGTGGGTGTCATAGTGTGGTCGTCCGAATGGCCATCCGGATGGTCGTTCAGCTGTTCGGGCATTCAGTCGATTTGCATATTATGCTTTTATTATTATAGATAACCATAGTAATCAAAACATTATGGCACTGGCCATAAAGGCCCACATATAGACCAATGGAATAGAGAGCTCACAAAGAAATCTGCACTTGTATGATCAACTGATCTTCAACCAGGGTGCCAAGAATACACACTGGGGCAAGGATAGTCTCTTCAACAAATTGTGTTGGGTAAACTGGATATGCACATAGAAAAAGAAATTTAAATTGGCCTGGTCAGCGTGGCTCAGTGGTTGAGCATCGACCTATGAACCAGGAGGTCACAGTTCAATTCCTGGTCAGGCCACATTCCCAGGTTGCGGGCTCGATCCCCAGTGTGGGGCATGCAAGAAGCAACCAGTCAATGATTCTCTCTCATCATTGAGTTTCTATCTCTCTCTCCATCTCCTTTCCTCTCTGAAATCAATAATATATATATATATATATATATATATATATATATATATATATATATATATATAATCAACTAAAAATGGATTAAAGACTTAAACAAGAGACCTGAAACTATAAGACTTTTGAAGCTTTGGGACACTGGTCTGGACCATGATCTCATGAATATGGCGCCAAGAGCGCAGTTAACAAAAACAAACAAGTAGGATTATATCAAACTAAAAAGCTTTGGCACAGCGAAAGAAACAATCAATAGAGTGAAAAGGCAACCTATGAAATGGAAGAAAATATTTTCAAACTACATATCTGATTAGGGGTTAATCCCCAAAATATATAAGAAGCTCCTACAACTCAACAGTAAAACACACACACACACACACACACACACACACACACACACACACACACACACATCAAAAACCTAATAACCATATTTTTAAAAATAATCCTCACTTGTGGATATTTTTCCCATTTATTTTTTTAGTTAGAGTGAAAGGTGGCTGTGGGAGAGAAACATCGACATAAGAGAGACACATCAACTGGTTGCCTCCTGCAAGTGCCCCAACTGGGGGCCAGCCTGGAGCCTGCAACCAAGGTACGTGCCCTTGACCAGAATTGAACCCATGACCCTTTAGTCTGAGGGCTGACATTCTAACCACTGAACCAAACCAGCTAGAGCTAATAACCAGATTTTTAAAAAATGGGTTAAGAACTTGAATAGCCCTAACCAGTTTGGCTCAGTGGATAGAGCGTTGGTCTGCAGACTGAAGGGTCCCAGGTTCGATTCTGGTCAAGGGCATGTACCTTGGTTGCGGGCACATCCCCAGTAGGGGGTGTGCAGGAGGCAGCTGATTGATGTTTCTCTCTCATCGATGTTTCTAACTATCTCTCTCCCTTACTCTCTGTAAAAAATCAATAAAATATATAAAAAAATAAAATAAAAAATAAAAAAAGAACTTGAGTAAACACCTTTTCCAAGGAGACATACAAATGACCAACAGGTATATGAAATATCATCTCACACCTGTCAGGATGGCAGTTATAAAAACCCCACATACCACAAAACCAAAAGACAGCAAGTATTAGTGAAGATGTGTAGAAATTGGAACCCTTGCACACTGTTGGTGGAAATGCAAAATGGTGCAGTCACTGTAGAAAACAGTATAGAGGTTTCTCTGAAGAATTAAATGTAGAACTACATTATAATGTAGTATTTCTACTGGGTATTTATCCAAAAGAATTGAAATTAGGATCTCAAAGAGCTAGCACTCCCATTGCTGGGGTCCAACCCCAGCAGGTCCAGGGACCTCCAAAGGTGTGGACGGAGTCGGTGAAGAAGGAATGACACAGAGGCAGCGTTCAGGTGATCATCATAGCCGGGTTCTCTTGTCAGGGTCTCCAGCCAGGTTCTGTAGCCAGTTCTCCAGCCAAGTTCTGTCTAGGATCTCCAGCCAGGTTCTGTAGCCATGTTCTCTCGCTAGGTTCTCCAGCCAGGTTCGGTCGCCAGGTTCTGTAGCCGGGTTCTTCAGCCAGGTTCTGTCTAGGTTCTCCAACCAAGTTCTGTAGCCAGGTTCTGTACAGGATCTTTTGCCATGTTCTCTCGCTAGGTTCTGTCTCTAGGTTCTGTGGCCAGTTTCTGTCCAGGATCTTTTGTCATGTTCTCTCCAGCGAAGTTCTTCTGTCTCTAGGTTCTGTGGCCAGTTTCTGTCCAGGATCTTTTGCCATGTTCTCTCGCTAGGTTCTGTCTCTAGGTTCTGTGTAGGTTCTGTGTCTAGGTTCTGTCTCCTGTTGTCTTGTTACATCTGTATTTATACCAGTTGATTCCAATCCTATCAATCTCTATTCCAAAGGTTAGGGCGTTTCTTATCTCCATTCTAGGGAGTAAAGATTATGTAGCTTAAGCATGATTGTTCGTAGTTAAAGTGATTAATTACCTGCCTGGCACTTAGTTAAGGGGTTTTATTCCCTCCCTCACTTCAGGGGAAAATCCCTACCTGGGGAAACAACCTTTCTCAGAGAGGTGACCTTGGTTAAAACACATAGTGCCAAGAAGGTGAGCAAACATATTAAGAACAGTATGCCATATATGCCAGGTCCCTTGAAACAGCAAGGATGGACCAGCTCCCGGCATCCCATTTTCACTATAGTGCTGTTCAAGATAGCTAAGATGTGAAAGCAATCTAAACATCCATTGCAGATGAAATGATCAAGAAAGTGTGGCCTATACATATAATGGAATACTATTCAGCCTTTAAAAAGAAGGAAATTCTGCAATATGCAATAACATGGATGAACCTTGAGGACATTAT